TTTTCTAAAGATGACGACACAACTTTAGTATATAAAAAAAAATATATATATATATATATATATATATATAAATTATTCGTTCACACACAAAAACAGTAGTGATTATTTTTTTAACATTTTTATAGTAATGTCAGTAAAAAAAATTTTATTGTTCTATTAAAAGGATTGATATTATCATCCGTGCCTTAACATATCTATAACATAATTTTTATCACTAAAAAATTAAAGAAAAAGAATTGGTAAATTTTAGAACACTGCTCTTTAAATATTTAAACTTCAGCTATTTGTAAGTACCATTCGCTTTTTTAGTATTTATCACAATACATCACAATCAGACTTTATTATTGCAGAATAGATTTAATTATATACGGCGTATATTTCATTTTAGTAAAATAAGTGTTTTCTAGTAAGCAATGAGCAAAGAGCAAATAGATACTGTATCATGCAATCGGTTACTAAGTAAAAAATTTTTTAATTAATACAAGTTTTTCTCAAATATCAAAAATTGTATTCAATAATCATATCATGTAACATTTTATTTATGTGTTTCTTGGTGGAAAGTACTTATAGTTTATACATTTGCCAAACCTTAAATATAATCGCAATATAAAGCAAATCATGTTTTATCACATAATAAAACTGTAATAAAATATCCTTTACTCCCATATAATGACATGCATACTCTGCTAAAAATCGCGGAATCATAAAAAAAAAACATATATGCTATTATAATATAACTTAATACAAAATATACATTGCAAATAATAATTAAACAAAGATATTTATTAAATACATAATCATTAAAAAAATCTTTATTTCTATTTTAAAAAATTTGGAACTTTAATTAAATGTTCAATCTCTTGATATTATAAAAATATCTTTGTACACACACATACTCGTATATACATATATATATATATATATGTATGTATATGTATGTATATATTATCAATAATTGAATCATGTGATTTTAAAACAACATACACAACTTTTTCTTGAAATAGGTTTTATAATGTAATTTTGTTCTTTGAGCTTATTGTTAGTTACACATTTGTCTTAAAAAACACACAGGTCTTTGTGTGATTTTTAAGACTTTTATTACTATTTAAGATTTTTATTACTATTTAAGATTTTTATTACTATTTAAGACTTTTATTACTATTTAAGACTTTTATTACTTATATTTTAAGACTTTTATTACTAAAAATAATAGTTTTAAAATATTATGTGTTTTAAAAACCCCACATCTCCATCTCTTATGTTGTTTAAAAATTTTATGGCATAATTTGAAACGCAAGCAAATATGGGTGAGTGTCATATTTTCTCATTGTCAGTCATAAATTGAATGCATTCTAATATTTAAACAATTGACTGGCTGAACTTAACCTCGCAAAGCATTCCCAGATAGCAAAATGTTAGCAGTATGCGCGCGGATTGGCAGCAAATTTAATCAGAATCCCACACCAAAACCATAGTCATCTGTGCATTAAGCTCGTGTTTTGTCGATAAAGCCTGCTGACAGATAATATTAATAATATATATTAATGTAATATATATAGGAAAATTTGAATAATTTAATTTATAAAATTAAATTAAAATTAAAAAATTTTATTTATGGAAGTTAATTTCTATTTTATATCTTAAGTAGATATAACAATGAACGATTTTCACTTATTCGGACAACTTCTTTCCGAATAAGTAAAAATCGGACATTTATCTGTTTAATTTTTCAAAAATCAGGACGGCAGATTGACAGCAGAAATCGAGCAGTTTCTAGACATTTATATAAAATGGTACATTTAAATGGATTTAAACATTTAAAGAGTCTCAATCCCAAGTAGCAAAATGACGGTAAATTTTGATCACAAAATAACCAATTACGTCCTAAAGTTAGATCTCATAAGATTCAAAAATGACGTCAACAGTCGATATGTCACATTCACGGTGAATAGTGCGCCACATAGCTGTAAGCGAATAAACTATACTATTTCAATAAATTATATGAATGCTAAAAGCTGTAGATCCTGTTCGATTTCTGCTACCAATCTGCCGTAAGATTGCGCGCGCGCAGATCCTGTTCAATTTCTGCTACCAACTTGACATCAAATTGCGTTATGCAGATTCTGCTCGGTTTCTGCTGGCAATCTGCTATAATAATTTTATGCAAATCCTGCTCGGTTTGTGCTACTTATCTGCTGCCAAATTATGTCAGCAGGTTTTGTAACATTTCTGCTATCATTATCTGATATAACAAAGTTTATTTATAATCTGGAATCTTTCTGCTGACAAAAATTTGTAGCAGACGTTTGGCGGTAGTTATGTAGAGTAAGACCTTTTCTGAATTTTGACAAATATGATCGGATCTCCCAGTAAAACTCTTTGTTGTGACTTCAACAGTGATAATCAGTCGGGGGAGCCCGATCCCCATCACTCCCACCTCCCCAAAAAACCGAAAAACCCCAAAAATTACCAAAGCAAAGCGAGGTCCACCCCACAACCCAAACCAAATTTTAGTTTTAAATCAAAAACAAGTTTGGGTTAGGTTATATCTTCCGGAAGTGGAGCCCCCCCCGTAGGGGAGACGGAACCCACTGCGTCCACGCATACACTTTCCCATCCACACAACAATTGTGGGGTGGATCTCGCTTTGTTTTGTAAAGTATATGCGTGGACACAGTGGATTTCGCCCCCCTAGGAGGAGGCTCCACTTCCGGAAGATATAACCTAACCCAAATCTATTTCTGATTTAAAACTAAAATTTGGTTTGGGTTGTGAGGTGGACTTTATAGTACATAATTACCTAATTTTCGGTAATTTTGGGGGTTTTTCGTTTTTTGGGAGATGGGGGTGATGGGGGCCGGGCTCCCCCTACCGATTATCACTGTTGGAGTCACAACAAAGAGTTTTACCGAGAGATCCGATCATATTTGTCAAAATTCAGAAAAGGCCTTATTCCACATAATTACCCATTTGGCAAAATCTGTTCGAACAGACTTCGCTATCTGGGTTAATAATAAAATTAATAATGATGGAGTCGACAAGTGCGGGTGTTATAGATAAAATAAAATCAGTTATCAATTTATCAGTGTAAATTTTATGAAAAAAACCCTGGTTGCATTATAGCAAGAAAGTACATAGACGAATTGACTCAACACATTTTAAAAGACTCTAAAAAGACTATAATAGTTCTCATATGCCGACATTGCCTTCCTTGAAAGCTTATCCCAAAGGAAAGAAGCCAATAAATGTTCAAAAAATAGATGATATTAAAAAATTAGACCCACACATTTCTGATGATGAAAAAGTTAAACTCTTTTACAAAGAAATTTTGCAATGGCCTACAATAAACACGGATGACTTAATCGAAGAACTATAGCTTATAGAGACCACCTATTTAAATGTTTTAATGATAAAATATTGTTTTCTGCGCATAAATGTGGTTTTATTTAATAAATAAACTAAACATAAACAATCTATATTGTTTACGAATAACACACATCCCATGTATTTTAAAAACAAAACATGTCCATGATCTCTTTTAGTAAAATAAAAATATAACATAAAATGTGTTCTTTCTTTTGTACATAATCATGATTTTACATTTTGAAATGTTTGAAAAAATCAAAACAAATACTATAAATTTTTTGCAAAATATGAGATTAGCACTTTTCTTAAAAAATTTTTTTTTCTTTCTACTGAAAAGTTTAGTTGAGTGGATGTGTTGTTTTAAAATCACATGATCCAATTATAATATATTGCAAATATGGAGAAAAAACCAAAGGGAAAAGAATACGTTGAAATGCTTATCTAATATTGTTTAATTATTAATAAATATTTTGGATATTTTGGTATACAAAAATATTTGTAATAATTTGTAAAAATATATCAAGATATCTTATAAATCAAGAAATTGAACATTTACTTAAAGTCACAAATTTTTTAAAATACAGGAAAAGATTTTTTTAATGATTATATATTTAACAGATATCTTTGTTTAATATATATATATATATATATATGCATATACAGGGTGACCCGCAATGACCGTCCACTAAGTACATAGCGTTATTCCTTACCAAAAACTGAGACAAAAAGTCCTGAACCATTTTTCTTTATAACGCTTAATAAAGGAGTTATTATTGAGTAAAGTCAGGCCAATCAGCATCGACCTTTAGCTGGGCGCAATGAGCCGCGCTCCTGGTAGTGTGCGTGAGCGCTCCGCTGCTAGCATAGAATATTCTTATATATCGTAATAATAGAAAAAAATTTTTCTTGCAGTATTTTTACAGGGACAAAATAAAGCGTGACGAATTTTTATCTCCAAAAATATTGTTTCTAGAGAAAAATGTTTCAAATAAAAGTTGCAGTATTTAAAGGGGAACATAAGTTAATGTTATAAGAATGTTTGTAGGTGACGATTTCAAAGTCAACTTTATTTTTTTAATAGAAACTCTAATTTTATATCGCATATTCTTATAGCCCTTCTTGAGACCTCTTCAAAACACTATAACAAAGTACTTCTTCATTAAGTATTCTTGAGTTATTTTATAGTTTATATGAATGTGATTTTTAGTACAACGAAAATTTATTTCTATTATTACGATGCATAAAAATATTGCATGCTAGCGGCATGCGCGAAGGAAAAATGTCGCCGCGCCGCCATAGCAGCGGAGCGCTCACGCACACTACCATACGCGCAGTTCACCGACGTGCGCCCGGCTAAAGCTCGGCTCTGATTGATCAGACTTTAACTTCAGTAATAACTCCTTTATTAAGCGTTATAAAAAAATGGTTTAGGACTTTTCGACTCAGTTTTTGGTAAGAAATAATGCTATGTACTTAGTAGGCGGTCATTGCGGGTCACCCTGTATATACAGGGTAAGCCATTTTAATGTATCCACTGAAATATCTTAAAATCTATAAGTTTAGAACAAAAATGTTTTAGACAAAAGTTGTATGATTCACAGGGGGACACATGATGAAAATATGGACTGACCTTGAATGACCTTTTCAAGGCCAAATCAATGTGATCAATATTTTCTTAAATGGGACCCCCATTTTTATTGCATATTCTTGTAGCTTATATCGAGAGCTTTTCAAAGCACTAATAAAGTATTTTTTCATTAAGTACTTTTTAAGTTATTTTATATTTTAATCTGACATATTTTGATATAAAACATAAAACGTCTCGTAAAATATTTATTTTTCGATCATCTTACCGTAATACTTTCATGTACAGAATAATAAGACAAATCAATTAGTAAAAAAAAAATAATTGTTTAAGGTCACTCAAGATCAAGTCCATATTTTCATCATGTGTCCCCCTCTGAACCCTACAACTCTTGTATAAAACATTTTTTTCCATCTTGCTTACTTTACGAAATATTTGCGTGTATTGATTAAAATGACTCACCCTGTATATATATGAAAAATTATCAATCTAAAAAATCATCTCTAATCCCTAATGTAAATGTTCTATTATATTATAAAAAGATCTTTTTCATATTACAAAAAAATATTGTAATATAAATTTGTATTTATATATTAATAGTTTGTTATAAAAACAAATATGAAATATCTACTAATTTAATTTGCTTTTTTGATATAAATAAATTGTTTATACAATAAAGCATAAAACTTAAAAAAATAGAAGTATTCAACAAATTCTTATAGGATCTAATCAGACTTATATTAACTGACTTATATTTTTTTAATGCTTTAGAAGTTAATATTATTAGATGGAATTTATATATCAGTAGATAAAATTATAAAAATAATTTGTTAATATGAGTTTAAATATATAACTTATTTATTTGTTTAAATTTCATCAATAAACAAATACTTTCAAAAAGACTTTAAAAATATATTATAGTTTTCATTACAGCTTTTAATGAAAAAAGATCATAAATAAATAACATACCTGTGAAGAATTGACATCACTAGAATCTGCATATAAACTATAACTAGTTGACCAATTATAACTAGTTCCCTGCCCGTTCTCAGCTGAAAGTGCAAATACATATAATGTATAAGAATTTCTTGCATAACATAAATTCATTATTTTTGCTTCACTTAGCAATAAAAAAAATTATTACAAGATATACAGAGTGGTCCATTTTAAAAGAGCCAGTCAAATATCTCGAAAAATATGGAAGATACGGAAAAACGTTTCAGGCAAAAGTTGTTTGGTTCGAAGGGGGACATAAGATGGTGTGATCTTGGATAGTCATTTGAAGGTCACATGAAGGTCACTTTCAATTTCTTAAATGGAAACCCCTATTTTTATAGCTTTCCCCTTCTTATAGCTTATGTCGAGAGCTTTCCTCATGTGACTTTCAAATGACTATCCAAGAATACATCAATGGCACCATCTTATGTCCCCCTTCGAACCAAACAACTTTTGTCTGAAACGTTTTTCCGTATCTTCCATATTTTTCGAGATATTTGACTGGCTCTTTTAAAATGGACCACCCTGTATATCTATTTCTATTTACCTTTTGTGAGTAAATGATAACACGGGACGCAAACGCGGGAATCGATGTTTCCCTGATATTCCAATCTGTATTTCATATTGCAACATTTGTTACATAACACCTGCGAAATGTATTGCAAATAAATATCAAATTATTATAAAAAACCAATATTGCAAACTTGTAAAACCAGATAATAAAAATATTATCAACAATATTATCAGGATATTTCAATAAATGATATAAATAGATGCCAAACTGATCTTTCTTGATCTTTTTTTATCAAGTTTCACATACCTTACCACAAGCCCGACAATGGTGACGTCTTTTAAGTACAGTAAATTTAATATCGCATAACATACAACTAGATGCATCACTATCTGGAACCCAAAACGGAGGTTGCTTTCCCAATATGGTATTACATTCGACTAAGGAATTATCAGAAACATCTGACGAAGCACCACGATCTTCATCAATAATGCCTTCGGTTTCTGAATGTCGCAGTTCTCCTGGTGTAGTACTTAATGATCCTATTACAATGATTCTTATCATATGATCTCATCATAATGAGATATTATATATATATATTAATATAATATAATAATATAATAAATGACACAATGTGTGTGGAAATATAAAACTAAAATTTTACAGCAACATACCAAGAGTATGGCAGTCGTTTTTATTATGTGTCGAAATAATATCCAATGTCTGAGGACGAACTGGTTTTCCGATTTCTTGATTATTTTCATTTATATAAGAGATTGTACAAGCATCAGTAATTTCAGCAATTTCCATCTTAGAAACCAAACCACTATCGTGTATTCTGTTATCATTTAATGGAATAACAGCTTTACTATCCTTAGTAATATCTTGGTGGTATACTCTCTCATTATAATCTTTATTTTGTGAAAAATTTTCTACAACATTATTGTTATCCTGTAATCGCGTATCTTCATTAATATCTTGTAATTTCGGTGCCGTATTGATATTATTCTGTTGATTATCCTGTTCTCTAACATTTTCAAATTTTGATGTGACTTCAACAGCAATAGTTGATACAGACTGCAAGGTATCCTCTGGTATAACTATATCTTGATCAATTGTCTCAATTACATCCTTATCTTTTATTATTTTATCCAGCTCATTATTTTGTCTGTCTGAATTACTTTTTTCATTAAAAACAATTTTTATTGCATCATTACATTCTACATCTGTTATATTTTCATTATGTGCATCTATATAATCAATTACAGGAAATTCTTTTACTTTCTCCTGAATATCTTCTTCAGATATTTTCTGAAGTTCACCAATCATAATTTTCTCAACTATCGGTGCTTCATTAATATCATCTTGAAGACACTGACTTGCAATATTTTCTTTACCATCTTTTACTTCGTCATGTGTTTTTAGCGACCAAATATCATCCGAATGTGATATATCTTCCATTTTAGATTTTTCTTCTTTTTCCAACTCTAACAAATACTGATTTAAGTTTTCCTCGGAAAAGTCATCACTAGTATCAATTTTATGTAACATATTGGATAAGATGTTGCAGCTTTTAATCGTTTGTGCATTTTCATTATGATCTTTACTGTTTATTATACTCGTATCTAGTTTGGTAGTATTTTCAAATACAGAATTGCTTCCCTTATTTTCGATAAATACACATTTATCAATGAAATTTTGATCCTTTAAATCTAAATGCTTATGTTCATTAGCAATACTTCCATAAACTTCTTTAAACATTCCATCATTAACCAAAGCTTTCTCATTAACATCAGTTTTAAACATTTCTGTACCTGTGATAATACTACCATGTTCGTTTTTTGAAACAGTTGTGCTCGGTACAAAGATTGTAATGCTACTACTTTTTTCTGATTGTATCAGAGTAGAATTTTGTGATATAACATTCTGCATTGCATTATCTTGTTTGTTTCCAACTTCAACTTCGACAAATGTACTTGCTTCCACTGGTAAGATATTTTTATAATCTAAGACATTTTTATCAGTTACATCTATTAAATCTTTTTTCTTTGAAACTGAATGTTTATTAGTGGTTGCTACATCTTTACTCAATATAAGATCTTTCTCCATTATATTATCTATGGACATTTTAGGTAGATCATCTAACATAGGCTGAACATAACTTAAGCTTCCAGTAGGAGCATTGATATATTCATTTAAACTATTAAAAACATTGCTAATACTAGGCTTGAAACTTGGTTGATTTAATTTTTTATCATATCTATTGCTATCCTTTGAATCATTACTTCCATTCTGCTGTTTCTGTATTACATTGCACGATATGTCATTGTATATTGTCAAAGACATTTGATCAAGAGTATGAGTATGAACGCATGATTTCTGTCCTGATTTATCACTGACACAATCATGCGTGTAAAAATTGTTTATAGAATCTTTACTGTCTGCTACACCCTTTTCAGTTAATAAATATCTGCAATCAACATCTATTGGTCGAGTGTCTCTGTGTTTGTCAAGAGATGGCATTGTATCAATCGCTATGCTTTTTCCAGGATTAATATTGTATATTTTTGGAGGCACAGATTCAATAGCATGCTTATCCGTAGATGCATTAATTGTAGAAGTTGCTACTGATGCTACTTGTTCCGCACAATCTACAAGAAATTACACATGTTATATTACAACATATATATAAAATGAAAACTCATTCATAGCCTATGTAACATATTTTTCTTATCTGCCTCTTAATATGCACATCTCAGATGGAAATAATTCTATAACTTTCAATGCAAAAATTATGCAAAAACTATAATTTTTTATAATATATCTACAACTTTTTAGATTATTTCTATGTAATTTTTATATCAAGCTATAATTTGGGCCATGTTTGTAGTTAATTTATCATAAATTTATATAGAAAGTTGAGATCTTCTACAACTACATTATATAGTATAATCTACAACTTTTGCAATTTACTACATCGCTTATAAAAATATTCGTAAAAAGTTATAGAAACTTGTAAAAATTTGTAAATATTTTTTACAACTCGCTACAACTTATCATGAATTTCTACAATTTTCACAAATTTGTAGAAAATTTATGAAAATTTTAAGTTTTCGTAGAAATATGTAATTGTAAAAATATTTCCACCAGAGATGCTTATCTCTCTCTCAACAACTTCATATGATAAAGACTCTCTCTTTTAAGGTTTAATTATAAAATCTAGAAATTAAGAGACGAAAATATCTATATATAATTATATAGCTTAGCTTGAAAATTTTTTACCTTCGTTGAATTCAAAATCATTGAGAACTTTATCCAAGTCAATCACAAACTTCTCCATAATGCCATCGATCGAGCTTTTGCTGCATAAATTTATTAAGCAGTTCTACGTATACCTAATATTCGTATAACCATACACACATATGCGATTTAATCAATATTAATAACCTCCATAATTAAAAATGTGGTTTTTATTTGGCATACAACACCAACATAATGTAATTGGAAATATTTATGTTTCGATATTAAACATGTTCTAAAAACACCCATGGATTATAAAGAATATGCTAACATCATACAACTCAACTTTTAAACAAAAAACAAATTGTATCAAATTGTATAATTATATTATACGTGAAACGCATATATGTTATATTTACGATTGTTTCATTAGCAATTGCCGAATGTTGTAATAACTTTTAATACTCCTATCGTAAAGTCCAGTACATGTCAGATTAAGAATTAAGAATGAATTTGATACGTTATTTCAAGTAATTTAAAGCGATATACATCTTATTTACATATGCTTTTACGTGACAAAACTGTCATTCTATACGAATAGGATAGAATAGAATAGATCGAGACGAGAGTATTGCGCAGTAATAAGTGTGTGTCTGTGTATTTGATGGTGTATGTATTTCACTGCTCTATACATATAGGGTCCGTTCCAATGAGTAAAGAATCACAGGAGAGAGCATTTGGTGCTAAGTAAGCGAACGGAAGTTTTTGAGGTTAAGAAGTTTATCAGAGAGAATCGGCATTATTGTATTTATTTGATACAAACTTTACTTTTAATTATCTTTTATCTTCTTTTATCTTTTATTTTCTTTTATGTTTCAGACATAATCGTTCTGCTGCAGATATAGGCTCCCGAATCACTGTTTGCTTCATAATAAATGGTGCTATTAAATTTAGTAACTCTTCAAATTGTGTAGGAGTCATGCGAAAATAATTCCTGAATCGTGCTTCTTCCAAAATAATAACAGGAAAGATTGCGTGGTAAAATCCATGATCGTATCATTCCATGAATATGGGATTAACCCAATAACGTTTCCTACGATAATTTCTTCTTTCCTGTTTTTGTAATTCATCGTTTATCAGAACTGCTGCTAAAAGTTTCTTACGTTGCCGATTTTGTTCTGATAATTTTTTCGTACATTCGCTTAACCACATGTAATATTTATTTCTGAATGACATAATTCACGATGATACGATTACACACACGATATTGACGCTATAAATTCGATGCAAAATGTAGCGTCAACTTTAATCACGTGACCTATTTTGACGCTAAAAATGAGCGTCGAGCGTCAGCGTGAAAAGGCACCTTAATGATTGTACGGAATTGACGGAATTATTAAATTATTAATTATTATTACTTGTGAACTGTATGTATGTTAATAAAAAAAAAGAAGTCGACAAACGGCCGTGGTCGGGTGCGGACGTATTTGAGCGTATCTCTTAAAAATTCCATTTTGAATTGAAAATTTTAAAAATCATCCTTTTTGAATACTATTATTAGTTTAAAAATAAGAGAAGAAGAAGGAGAAGAAGAAGAAGAAAAAGAAGAAGTGTTAACAATAAAAAAAAATGTTAAAAGTTAATTGCCCAGACAGCACAAGGATGTCCTTAGGACGTCCAAAGGGCATCCAGGACATACATGTAGGATATCCTGAGGATATCCTATTTTAATCCTCGGATCTCCTCTGGATGCATTAATACTTATTACAATACTTAAAATTTCTAAATTATATTAAATAGCCTACATAACCGAAAGTAATCATGTATGCATATTAAATTTTCATAAAATATATTTATAATAATATCTTAAAACATCCTACAAATATCCTGAACCATCCTGGACATATTCAGGATGATCCTGAGGACGTTTTGTGCTGTCTGGGTGAGGTGTCATTTAATGTTAATTGAAGTGTCATTCTAAAGTAATCCATGTATTTTTCCATGTCTTCGGCCAGCATTTCTTTAACAAGATTCTCACTTACTCCTTGTTTTAATCTTTTATACTAAATATAGGTCGTACCCAATATTTTTGTTTTTTTCTATTATTCTCATGTTTTTTGCAATTATATACAACGAGTAAAATTTTACGATCTTGCGGCGTAGTTCTTGCTTTTGAAATATATACCAACTTTGTTTAAATTTTTTCAATAATCCGCAAATAATGATAAATAATTTTTCAGAATTCATATTGACAGTTCGTATATTATGCATGGAATTCATGAATTTTGAAAAGTATATGCATGTATGTGTGATTCCGATCCGCTTGAGTATTGTCTCTATTGTCCCATGCAGCGGAAAACGCGGTAGCGTAGTCTGTGCGAGCCAATAATATACACTATTTCGATAGATACAATAAAAGAATCTATAGGAAAGGTCTCGTTGATTCCCAAACAGAACAAAAAATCACAATAATATCAAAATGACATCATAATGACTATCAAAAGTCATTATGATGTCATTTCGATGTCATTTTGATGTCATTTTGATGTCATCTTGATGTCATTTGATATTATTGTGATTTTCTGTTCTGCTTGAGAGTAGTCGATATGTCACATTTACGGGACGTCAATTTCTGACGTTTGTATTAATAACATATAAATATATTTAATGTAATATATATAGGAAAATTTAAATAATTTAATTTATAAAATTAAAGATTTTATTTATATGGAAGTTGTTAAGTATAAGACAATTTTGCATTTATCATTCGAACAGCGCGCCTTATAGCCTGGAGCCTTTTTTAGTTTTTTAGTTTACGGCTGCGCCGCCAGAGTTGTTGTGAGAAGGATCGCGCGGGGTGTAAAGCGAGGGGCACACACTTTTGCATAAGCGCATAATCATAAGCATAAGAGTGTCATTACATGAAGCGCGGAAACGCGGATTAGCGTAACGCGGAACGAGAAGGTGGTTACTATTCTCTTCCGCGTTTCCGCGTTTCCGCGCTCCATGTAATGGCATCCTAAAGGAATTGATTGGTCAATTTCCTTATGCATAAAGAAATGGACCAATCAATTTCCTTATGCTTATGATTATGCGCTTATGCAAAAGTGTATGCTCCCTGCTTTAGCCCTACAAAAATAAATCTTATGATATTTGATCAAGATTTGTAATCATGTATTAATATACGAATTGAGAAGAAAATTTTCGGTACATTTTACTAAAATAATCTTTCTATTAAACACAAGTAAAGTATGCAAAAAAAATTAATTTATTTCAAGATGATTTGCAAGAAAAAGAAAAGAAATGCTCATGTGATTTTTCACTTCTCATAATTCAATACGTGGCAATAACTGATCAGAGATCTTAATATCTTAAAAATAAGAAGAAAAATACTATAAACATACATAGAAACACTTACAAAACAAAGCCTCCTTAATTCTTGTTCCATAAAAGGAGATTTTCATCCCTCTAGTTCCTTTCCAACTAACTTGTCTTGCAAGTTCATTGTGCAATACGATGGATATAAGACAAGTAGCAGCATTCCACTGATCAGAATCATCAGGAATATGTGCATTAAGGTAGCTGACCTTGAAAACACACAAAATAAATGCTAAACTATGTAAGAAGAGTTCATATATTGTAGAATATATAAATAAATATCTAGAGATGTTAGCTGTACTTACAAACTGAGAATATGCAATTTCATCCTTCAAAAATTCGTTGAATGCTTTAAATGACTTCTCATCTCGTAATGGAAAGGGGGGGGGGCAATTTTCGGGTCTCATTATGATAGCTTCACTAGGAAATATTTCATTTAAGATGCAGCGTTGGTTCATTAGTACTATGTCAAGTTTACTTGACATATCTCGAAGTAAATCTCTATCAAGATTAGATACAACTGGTCCTGCAAAAATATAAATTAATGGTCAGAAAGTGTAACATATATAAAGACTGCAGTTATATAAATTAGAACAAAAAAAAGTCATTACCATGAAGCTCCTTTAAATGGCTTAATATCGTCGTCAGCAAATCACGATCTGCATTCGATAAACCTGAAATGTGTGTGTGAACATAATATTAATATATATTAATATATATTAGGAAAAAAAGTAGTATGTGTATGTGTGAAAACCATTTCTCAAGAGTGAGATCGTCGGGAAAATCATATATTACCGTGGAATGATGGTGAATTTGGAGATGCTCTATTCTGATTACCTACTAACATTAAAGTTCTTTCTTTTCCTAAAACGCTATCTTCAATTTTATCTTTTGGAGTTTCGAAGTGTATTATATACTACTCAAAAGAAAATAGGGAACACTTTTTTTTCATCCTTCAAAAATTCGTTGAATGCTTTAAATGACTTCTCATCTCGTAATGGAAAGGGGGGGGGGCAATTTTCGGGTCTCATTATGATAGCTTCACTAGGAAATATTTCATTTAAGATGCAGCGTTGGTTCATTAGTACTATGTCAAGTTTACTTGACATATCTCGAAGTAAATCTCTATCAAGATTAGATACAACTGGTCCTGCAAAAATATAAATTAATGGTCAGAAAGTGTAACATATATAAAGACTGCAGTTATATAAATTAGAACAAAAAAAAGTCATTACCATGAAGCTCCTTTAAATGGCTTAATATCGTCGTCAGCAAATCACGATCTGCATTCGATAAACCTGAAATGTGTGTGTGAACATAATATTAATATATATTAATATATATTAGGAAAAAAAGTAGTATGTGTATGTGTGAAAACCATTTCTCAAGAGTGAGATCGTCGGGAAAATCATATATTACCGTGGAATGATGGTGAATTTGGAGATGCTCTATTCTGATTACCTACTAACATTAAAGTTCTTTCTTTTCCTAAAACGCTATCTTCAATTTTATCTTTTGGAGTTTCGAAGTGTATTATATACTACTCAAAAGAAAATAGGGAACACTTTTTATACCTTAAAAATTGGGCTATTTTCAAACCGCTGAAACTCGACGAATAAACATCGTAGACAAAAAATTAAAAAAGCATTTTAAAGCTTGAAGTTTCAACTTTAACGCATTATCGGTGATTTTTTTAAATTTTTGTATCTTCCTTGTGTTGTGCTTTAAAAAAGAACACATTGTTTTGTTCCTTAAAATTAGGTACACTTTGACACTCTGCAGCTCCATAAAAAAATTTCTCTCGAATAATTCAACTCAAGCTCCACAAACTACAACATTTTTCCTACAAAATACTTTTTTAAAATTTTTCCTACGATTCTTTTTGACCGAGCTATACGATTTTAAAACTAAACCTGTCTTTTTTAGAAATGATGTCGATACTCGGCGAAAAATCATCGTAGACAAAAAATTAAAAAAGCATTTTGAAGCTTGAAGTTTCAACTTTAACGCGCTATCAATGGTTTTAAAAAACTTTTTTATCTTCCTTGTTCTACGCTTTAAAAAAGAACACATTGTTTTGTTCCTTAAATTAGCTTTTTTTAAATTATCTTTGACACTCTGTAGCTCGATAAAAAAGTTTCTCTCGAATAATTCAACTCAAGCGCCACAAATTACAACATGACTACGAGATGACTTTGCTTTGTTAACGTTCCTTGGAAAAGCATTTTGTTTTCTCCCTAAGAGATCATGGTGCATATGTACATACAGTGTACTCATTGAAAAACTGTCTGACAT